GTTAAATATTAAAGCAGCAAAAAAAATGCAAAGGAAGGAAATAGAGCTCAGCAGCCTCTACCAGGGCTCTTGTTTTCCTCTGGAGGGCAAAGCAATTCCAAGCAGAGGGCACTGGGAAAGGAAGGGGTTTGCTCATCTAAGAGACTCACTCTTATACTTGAGGCCTTGGCGTCTCGGAGTGAACACTGGAGTCAAGAAGCCTAAGTTTGAATCCAGACTTGACACTGCCAAGCCTTGGGCCTCCATTGGATCATTCATCAGAACAAGATGCTGGCTGGGATAAATACTCATGGGCTAAGAGTAACCACCCCTTACATCTGCATAGGCCTAGGTAGTTTCCAAGGGGCCTTCCCATCCATGATCTTGGAAGCTTCTAAAACAGCCCAGCGGAGTTAGAAGACAAAAAGGCTTGTTTGTTTATTCAAGTATAAAATACATATGGGAAAAAAAAAGCAGATCCTAAGGGTTCACACTGATAAATTTTCTCAACATGAACACACTTGTGAAACAAGCACTCAAATAAAGAATTAGAACTTGAGTAGCATTATAGTCCCTCCTCATACTCGCATCCAGTCACTACCCCACAACCAACAAAGGTAAACGGTGCCCTGACTTTTAACATCATAGAGTAGGTTTCCTTGGTTCTGAACTGTATATAAATAGAATTGACAGTATGTACTACTTTGTGTCTGGCTTTTTTATTGTGGCAAAATACATATGGAATTTACCATTTTAACCATTTTTAAAAGTAAAGTTCTGTGGCATTAAGTACACTCACATTGTTGTGTAAGAACATCTGTCTCCAGAGCTTTTTCATCTTCCTCAGCTGAAACTCTGTGCCCATTAAACACTAACTCCTCATCCCTCTCTCCCTCCCTCTGCCAACCGCCATTCTACTTTGTCTCTATGAAGAGACCTTGCTACTCTAGGTACCTTATGTAAGTGCAATCATGTATTTTTCCTTTTGTGACTGGTTTATTTCACTTAGCATAATGTTCTCAAGGTTCATCCATGTTGTAGCATGTGTCAGAATTTCCTCCTCCTTAAGGCTGAATAATATTCCATTGTATGTGTAGGCCCTATTTTGCTTATTCATTCATCCATCAATGGATATGTCTAGCTTCATTTAAATATTTGAAAGATACAGCCATATTGTTGCACGTAGTGAGAGACTCAATGTACAAATGGACAATCCCAGAATATATATAAAAATAGAACTTTGACCCACAACCTGCAGTAACCTGCCCAGGAAACCAACCCCGTATCTACAATAAATAGCCCAGGTTGCCAGCCTGCTATAAGCCAGACTTGCAGGAAGCCAGACTGCTATCTCCAGTGGCAATCCAGGAAGCTAAACATTAACTTCTGTAACAATCAAGTCAAAATGGTCAGGACTTGATTAATAACTGACAGCTTCCCCAATTTTTGTCCCCACTTCCAACTTAGGATCAAACAGAGAAACCAAATATGCACCCCTAAATCAATCACATAGGATGTCCTGCTTCTATTTAGCCCTCGTACAGCTTTCCCATGCCAACAGCTTCCAACAGGGCATCCCTGAAGCCTTCCTTTTTTTTCTACTATAGAGCTTTCCCATTCCTTTGTATGCCTTTGAGTTTCTGCCAAAATGCAGGTAACAGTGGCTGACTTCTTTGCTGTAGCAAGCTCACAATACCTTTTTGCTTATTTCCACAGTAGCTATAGGTAGCTCATTCTCATTATTGTATAGTATTCCACTATGCAAATCTATGTAATTTATTTATGCTGCCACTGGGCATCCGGATGGTTTCCGGTATGGCAAAATTATAAATGCCATTATGAATATTCTAGTACATGTCTTGTGGTAAAAACGCATACATTTCTGGTGAGAAAATACCTAGGGAAGGAATTGCTAGGTCACGGGTATATTCACCAGTACTCAAGAGTTCCAGTTGCTCCACATCCTCACCAGTACCTGGCATTTCTATTTCTTCCATTTTAGTTATTATCATGGGTACATGGTAGTAATGCATTAAGGTTTTAATCTGTATAGTTGTCCCTTGGTATCTGTGGTGAATTGGTTCCAGGAACTCTGATGGATACCAAAATCTGCATGCAGATGCCTAAGTCCTTGATATGAAATGTCCTAGTATTTCCATATAACCTACGTACATGCTACTGTATAATTTAAATCATTTCTAGTTTATAATACCTAATACAATGTTATGCAAAATACATAATGTAAATGCTATGCAAATTACTGTTATCCTGTATTGTTTAAGGAATAATAAGAAGAAAAACAGATACAATTTTTTTTTTTGAGACGGAGTCTTGCTCTGTCACCCAGGCTGGAGTGCAGTGGCGCAATCTCGGCTCACTGCAACCTCCGCCTCCCGGGTTCAAGCAATTCTCCTGCCTCAGCCTCCCAAGTAGCTGGGATTACAGGCACGCCACCATACCCAGCTAATTTTTGTATTTTTAGTAGAAACAGGGTCTCACCATGTTGGTCAAGCTGGCCTTGAACTCCTGACATCAAATGATCCAGCAGTCTCAGCCTCCCAAAGTGTTGGGATTACAGGCGTGAGCCACTGTGCTGGGCCATTTTTCTTTTCCTAATATTTTTGATCTGTGATTGGTTGATGTAGAATCTATGGATACGGAGGGCTGGCTGTATTTTCCTGATGACTGAAGTTGAGCACTATTTCGTGAAGGCATAGTTTCAAAATGCATAAATCATGCCAGTTCCTTGCTTAAAACCCTTTGACGGCTCTCCATCTCATCAGCAGTAACACCCAAACCCCTTCCCATGGACCATAAGGCCCTGAACATTCTTGCCTTCACCCACCTTGTACACGCTGTTCCAGCCAGAGAAGAATCCTTCCATTCTTCCAACAAGCCAAACTTTTGTTCTTATCTCAGGGTCTTTGTTCTTGCTGTTCCCTCAGCCTGGCTGGCTCCTTCTTGTCATGCAGGTCTCATTACAAACATTGTATCTCGGCCGGGCACGGTGGCTCACGCCCGTAATTCCAGCACTTTCAGAGGCCGAGGTGGGCAGATCACGAGGTCAGGAGATCGAGACCATCCTGGCTAACACGGTGAAACCCCGTCTCTACTAAAAATACAAAGAATTAGCTGGGCGTGGTGGCGGACGCCTGTAAACCCAGCTACTCGGGAGGCTGAGGCAGGAAAATGGCGTGAACCCAGGAGGTGGAGCTTGCAATGAGCCGAGATCACGCCACTGCACTCCAGCCTGGGCGACAGAGCAAGACTCTGTCTCCAAATAATAATAATAATAATAATAATAAAATAAACATCGTTTCTCCAGAAGCGTTATTCTATATAAAGCCATCTCTCCCTACACATACACACACACACGCACACACATACACATGCACACGTTACTCTCAATCCCATTACCCTGTTCTTTTCTTTTTAATGTACTTTATCATTCTCTGAAATTACCATGTGTTTACATGTTATATAGAATTTCTGTGAAAACAACAGCTACAGATCTAAACTAATCTTGAACAAGTGACTCAAAAATCACAATCATCACTGCCATTGACGACGTGGTTTTCTGAAATGGAGAACAACTCTTAGTAAAGGTCCAAACAAAACAAACAAGTGACTCTCCATTCTTCACAGTTCATTCTTAAAAAAAAAAAAAAAAAAAAAACACAGTAAAACCATATAAAAAGTACTTTGTGTTTACATGTAAATAAACTTTGGTTTAGTATCACATGTGTATAAACAAAATTTTCACCAAAATTAATAATCAGTGGAACATCTGAATGTTGTGCTGGACACTGGACAGATGTTTGTTATGCAGGACTGTCCCAGAATGCATTGCAGAGCATCTAGCAAACCTGCCCCTGACCATTAAATGCTGGTAGGGCTCCTCAATTGCTGTCACCACAAAGAAACTCTCCTACGTTTCCAAAACACTCCCTGGTGGGCAGTACTGCACACTGTAAAAGTCCGTCTGTCTATAGAAAGGGTACCCTATCATGTACCTAAGAGTGTGTGTGAGAAAACAAATAAGTCATCTAAATGGCTCTGCATTGTGCCTGGCAGATAATAAGTGCTTAATAAATATAAACTTATTTCATCCCTCCTTCTTTCTTTCATCTGGCCACAGGTTCTCAGTGTGACCAATAAGGAACATCTGTCATCAACCCTGACCACAGGAAGGAAGGTACACTAAATATTTCAAGGAGTGAAGTGAGTAAATTAGGGAACGATGAACACACTTATCACCCCACTCCAAGAAAGGCCCACAGAATAACATGACAGTTATTCACACAGACTGTGGAACTATTCTATTAAATACTGTATAGCAATTTGACTCAAGAGAACTACACTTACTTTTCAATATAACTCTATTCCCCCTCTGCTCTGGGGTCAAATTTTAAGACTGAAAAAAAACCCAGGGTCAGGCTGGAGAACTATTCCTGGATAAGAATGGGCCATAACAGGACAGGAACCTGCTGCTCCACCTCTGAATGCTGGGCCACATCTGGCCTGGCTTCATGCAGCAGCAGGTGGGAATGAAGGATTCCAAGGTGATCGACATCTCACACTAGAGGCTTTATACAGGCGGGTTCTTCTGTCCAGGATGCCTTCTCCCCTTCACTTCCTACTCTTTATTAACCTAGCCATCTCTTCTTCATTTTTAAAGTTTCAAGGTATATTGTCTCCTCTAGAAGAGTTTCCTTGGACATCCCCACAGAACCGTCACTCCCTCTTCTGTGCATCCACAGGCCCTGTAACTTCCTCTACCATGGTATGTTTAATGTTGTGTGTTTTTGTGCTTGGTTAACTCCCCAGATGCTCTGCAAGAACTGTGTCTGGTTCATCTTTATATTCCTGACAATTAGCTCAGTACCCTGACACACAGCAGAAGCCCAACAAAAGTTTACCTACCTCTCTCCCCAGCTTTGGATCTTAGAATAAACACACCACAGAGTCGATGTCACAAAGATTGTTCACAGCACCATTATTCAGGCCATATATGGAGGTTCTCATTAATAAGGGTTTGTGGTCCAAAGAACAGTTTATTTAAAACAAAGGTGATGAGGTATAGGAAGAAGAAAGGAAGGAGAACAATTCTAACATAAAAACACAGGAAGCATTTCAAACATAAAAAAAAAAAAAAAAAAAGGAGTGGGGACAATGGAGGAAGCTATGTCTCATACTTATACAAATTGCTGACCTCAATTGATTACTTACATCCAAACCTTACAAAATAGCATTTCAAGTCAGCACTTAAGCCAGTGTTATTAGATTTTCTTACAAAAAGTTAAAGCTACAAACTTCACATTTTTAAACTGTACATAGCAACAGCATTTAAGCTTTTTTTTTTTTTTTTCCAAGTTGGTCCGAGTGCAAGCTGGTAAAAGAGATTTTTTTTCCAAACACAAACAAGAACATGTATTCCAAAGACAATGAATATAATACTGATGAAAACATAAACATAGTGCTTAAGAAAAGATGGGGTGAGGTGGAGATGTAGATTGGGCAGGAACAAATTTCTAGTAAATGAGGAGCTGCAATCTTTAGAGGCAATATGGTATGCTAGAAAGGACACTGGAATAAGAATCAGAAGACCTGGATTTGAATCCTGGCTCAGCCATATTCTAGCCACATGACCTTGAGCAATAGACTTTACATCTCCAAGCCTCAATTTTCACATCTGTAAAATGAGGATAATAATACCTATATTTCCCAGCACTATTAAGTTTCTATAGATATAGGGCTATTCAGATTATCTACTTCTTCTTTTTTTTTTTGAGACAGGGCCTCATTCTGTCATGCAGGCTGGAGTGCAGTGGTGAGACCGTGGCTCACTGCAGCCTTGACCTCCCTGGGCTCAGGTGATCCTTCCACCTCAGCCTCCTGACCAGCTGGGACTACAGGTGTGTGCCACCATGCCCAACTAATTTTTTTTTGTAGAGATGGGATTTCGCTATGTTGCTCAGGCTGGTATCTATTTCTTCTTGAATGAATTTTGGTACTTTTTATTTTTCAAGGAATTTGTCTATTTTGTTGAAGTTGTTAAATTTATTAGCAAAAAATTATTCATAATATTCTGTTGGCTTTTTAATACCCATAGGATGTATCATGATGTCACTTCTCTCATTCCTGATATTGAAAAGACTTACTGAGTTTTAAATGGTATAAATTTCTGGCATCTGGCAGGTGCTAAATGTTTCCTAGATCGAAATCTATAGTCTCAAGGAGTTAAGGCTACAATTCTCAAGTTGCTTCAGATGACTGGTTCTATTTATCAATACGTCTATCGATCCACTCATCCACTCATCCATGCATCCTCTCACCCTTCCTCTTCCCCATCAAACATTCATCCATCCAATTGGTGGCTAGGGGAAAAGGACAAAAAAGAAAAAAAAAAGGAAATTCAAAATTTCTACTTCAAAATTACTGATGGAGCAATTAAAATATTCTTAAAGAATTCTGAGATTTTTGGCCAGGCACGGTGGTTCACGCCTATAATCCCAGCACTTTGGGAGGCCAAGGCAGGTGGATCACAAGGTCAAGAGTTCAAGACCCACCTGGCTAATATGGTGAAACCCCATCTCTACTAAAAATACAAAAAGTAGCCAGGCATGGTGGAGCAGCGCCTGTAGTCCCAGCTACTTGGGAGGCTGAGGCAGGAGAATCGCTTGAACCCGGGAGATGGAGGTTGCAGTGAGCTGAGATGGCGCCACTGCACTCTAGCCTGGGCGACAGAGCAAGACTCCATCTCAAAAAAAAAAGGATTCAGAGATTTTTTTTTTTTTTTTTAAAGACAGAATCAGGTCATTGTTCTTGAAAGCAGAGAACAAGCGAGGACCTCAAATTTCCCTGGAAGCTCGAGTTGCAAATGCTCAAGCAATGACTGAAGCCCAAGGCTCAATGAAAGCAAGCTGATATATCTTAATTTAGTATTCAACAACAACAACAAAAAACTAGGACTTGCTCCTTTGCCTTTCTGTCACTAGAAAACAAATACACCTTGTCAGGAAATTTCTCTGATCCAAAACAAATTGACTTCTGGCCAAAAGGCTCCATCAAGCTGGTAAGCAATAGACTTTGTTGGATCAGCAAGCTGGGTGCACACATGCCTGAAACAAAACAAACTCCAGATCAAAGTTCATGACCCAAGAATGGTTATGGGGAAACTGAACTTTATTTTATTTGGATCTAGCTTAGGAAGGGAGAAAATGGGCTTTCTCCTCCTGTCTGGCCAAGTGCAAAGTTATTTGTTTAAAAAAGAAAGAGAGGCCAGGAGCGGTGGCTCATGCCTATAATCCCAGCACTGTGGGAGGCCGAGGCGGGTGGATTACCTGAGGTCAGGAGTTCAAGACCAGCCTGACTGACATGGTGAAACCCCATCTCTACTACAAATACAAAAAAAAAAATGTAGGCATGGTGACAAATGCTGTAATCCCAGCTACTCAGGAGGCTGAGGCAGGAGAATCACTTGAACCCAGGAGGTGGAGGTTGCAGTGAGCCGAGATCGTGCCATTGTACTCCAGCCTGGGCGACAAGAGCGAAAATCCGTCTCAAAAAATAAAAAGAGAAAAGAGAGAGAGAGAGACAGAACTATTAATTCGCACAGCAAATGGTGCAGGGGTATGCATCGTGGATGCTTTGGTTTTAAGACTTACTTGGCAATCAGACTTAACTAATTCAGCTGTCTTTCCAACCTAAAAATGCCAGTTAGTCTATGCAAGAAAAGGTGGTCACTTTATTTTAAATAGGCTTGTGACTCTCCTTTTTTGTGTAAATATTGATCCTCTATAGTGATGCTATGAGTCCTGATTCTGCCATTTACTAGCTGCATGACCTTGGGAAGGAATCACTCTCTGAACTTATTTCTTCATCTACAAAATGGAGATAAAGTAGTTAAGTCATAGGGTTATTGTGAAGTTTAGAGCCTACCCAGCTCAGTGCCTGATATAATAATATGTGCTCAACAAATGGTAGCTGCCATTTATTATTCCAGCAAGATCCTCAAATTGTCCTCTGTTTTCAGTATCTGCCACATAGCTATTTCAGTGGCCAAACCCTGAAGACTAACAACTGCCTCTTGCATTTTTTAAAAACTTGCTTTAATTGCAAATAACAGAATCTGGCCACAGAAGAGGCACATTCCCTGCCTTTCCATTGATTCCCAGGTTTCAGGAGCAAAAGCAATTATGGAGTCAAATTACAGTATCCTGAGGTGCAAGCCAGTCATGGCTCCCCATCTGAGGGAAAGAGGTAAAGTTGCAGGAAGATGGCTCTATGCTGTCTTTTGCAAAGCCCTCTGATTTGCTTCAGGCCCGAAACCTGCCTCCATGGGTGCTTGTCTGCTATATCTGGCAGATGTTGCGGAGCTCAAGGACTTGCTGAAACTGAATGATCTGGCTCGTCTAGGCAATCTTTTTATAGCCAGGTCATACCTACTGAAGAGACAAGGCAAGAGCAAGTTTCTGTTAGCAAGGTTCCCTGGAATAATTAACCAAGACTGACACAGGTCTCTTCCCCCAAAGAAGGGGCTGCATGGTTCGGTGGCCTGGGAGTGAGGACCCTGAATTCTAGTCCGAGCTCTTGTGCTAACTTGCTTTGTGATTTTGGCCATTCCCCTCTACACCTCAGTTTTCTAATCATCCATACAAGAGGGTCAGACCAGATGATCTCTATAGTCCCTTCCAGCTCTGACATTCTGTGTGTTCAGTTCAGGTTGAGCCTCCTGGAGAACAAATCTTAGTCTAATACTCATTTATCCTTTCCAGGCTGCTTAGCAGTGAAAGAGAAAAGAAAACAGTCACATATTTGAATGTGGGTCACAAAAGCAATCCTCTCTACCCCTGTGTGTAAGGAATGTGGAGCAAAATGCCACGTGTATGATTTTTACATGAACAATGAGAGCTTTGAAAATGCTTTTCCTTTATGGACTGAACACAGCCCCGTGTTTGCTGAGAGTTCCTGGTAGACCTATCCCCTCAGTGGATCATGTCTCCTCTTAAGGCACTGGGCAGTATCTGTGCTGTGACTTTAGGCAGTTGAGAGAGTGGAGATGGATGAAAGGCATTGAAAGAGCAAAGGCCAATTTGCAAAGAGGGTACCAGGCTTCTCCTGGGACTCAAAGAGTAAACACAAACTCTCAAAGCTTTCCCTTGGACATCACCAGCAGTTCCAGAAGCCAGTGATGACCACACAAGGCTGAAACCATGGTAAAAGAACTGTCCCAAACCTAATTTTTAAATGCAGCCCTGCAAAGGGGGAGGTTGGCTCCTGGGATTCAGTGACCCCCTAACAACCTCCCGGTGTCCTCTGCCCTCATGTTCCACAGTACCATAATCTTACAGAAGAGGCAAACTGTTTAAAACTGTACCTGTACAGAGATGCCACCACACTGAGTGGGGAATCTATTTATAATTTATATATATATGCATATTTATATATATTTTAAAAGTCTTCCAGAAAGAACAATTGAAAGCTATTGGGAGAAGAAAAACAAACAGACGATGTAAAACTTTCCCAGCTATCACTCAACTAGGAGTCTCTGTTCCTGGGGTTTGAAACTCTGAGTTAAAAGCGCCAATATAAATCCTTTGAAATAATATACCTGACCAATGTACATACACACATCAAGATGGCACGCTGGCTGTCAAGAGAGCCCTTCCCACTGGCGCACATTCCTGAGTTCACAAAGGTGCTGTGGAGAGACGACAGAGTAGAAGTGCTGGCTAACAGATGTGAGGCAAGCCATCCAGAATTCACCCAAAGCCTGGGTGGAGCTGGGGCCCTCACAGCCTGGCCTTGCTCAAAAGTTTTGTTGCCGTCTCTTCTTAGCCTCAATGGCATCCAGGATGGGCTGCCGCTTGGACTGGTACTTCTGCCGGATCTCTTCAATCTCCTGCTCCATCATGGGGTCCAGGGCCAAGAGCCTCTTCTGAAGGTCCTCCACTGTCCAACTCTTAAGCTAGAAGAGAAGTGGAAAGTATCGTCACGACAAAGCTTACGTCGGTGGCAGAACAGTGGAGAAGCCCAGCCTTCCCAGGCACCCAGAGGGAAGGGAGACAGGAGGAAGACACTGTGGTCAGATCACAGGTTGGGTGGTGGTGGTTGGAAAGTGACAATTCATTCCAAAGAAAGGCATACCTTGAAGCTTGTCTGAGATAATGTATCCCCGGGAGAGTTCTAAGTGCTAACCACTTTGATTTAATGTGCCTTGACCAAGAACTTAGTGAATAAATACTCTTACCTCCCCTATCTTTTAAATTAATTAAATATAGATTCACTGTTAGGGCATTAACGGTAACTTGCTGTATGTGAAATAATGGTTGCCTCCCCGTTTTTGTTCTGTCCACAAGATGAGCATCTATCTGGACAGCGCCTTTCCCACTTTCAGGATACACCATGGAAGATAGATGCTGACGAGGCGCAGATGCCATCCCCTAACCTTGCCTTCCCACACACCCAATGTCTTGGCACTGCCCTATTATCATCACCAGCATTTACTTGAGGCTACTATATGCCAGGTAACACTCTAAGCCCCTTGGGAATACAGACGCAACCCTTGGACAGGGGTTGGCGGTAAGGGTGGGTAATTGGAAAAACCTCAAACTTCTGAGATTAATTTCTATCATCCAGAGGGAAAAAAGGAGTTGATACATAAATTAATAATAATGGCTGGCATTTAGTGCTTTGTATGCACCAGACACTGAGTGCTTTACATATATGGATTCTTTTAATCCTCACAGCAACCCATGCTACGAGGACATTATTATCCAAATGTTACAGATGAACAGCCCAAGGAGGAGGGTAGCTAAGTAACCTGCCCAATGTCTCCCAACTAGTAAATGGCAGAGTCAAGACTCAAATCTGGCCGGGCATGGTGGCTCAAGCCTGTAATCCCAGCACTTTGGGAGGCCGAGACGAGCGGATCACGAGGTCAGGAGATCGAGACCATCCTGGCTAACATGGTGAAACCCCGTCTCTACTAAAAAAATACAAAAAACTAGCCGGGCGAGGTGGCGAGTGCCTATAGTCCCAGCTACTCGGGAGGCTGAGGCAGGAGAATGGCATAAACCTGGGAAGCGGAGCTTGCAGTGAGCTGAGATCCGGCCACTACACTCCAGCCTGGGCGACAGAGCGAGACTCCGTCTCAATAAAAAAAAAAAATAAAGACTCAAATCCAGGCAGCATGGCTCTAGAGCCCATGCTCTTAACTAGTGTTGCAGAAGAGCGGACTAGCAAAGCACAGGCTTTAGAACTAACTCAACCTTTGTTTAAAACGTGGTTCTGCCTATTGCAGATGCCATGAGACTCTGTCAAGTTGCCAATCTCTCCAGGCCTTCCCCATCTACAGAAGTGGGACAGCAGTGCCTCATCACATGTATTATAAGAATTAAAAGAAATCACGGCTGTAAAGTTCTCAGCACAGTACCTGGTAAACTGTGTGTGTAAAGACAGCAATGGGTGTTATAAGCCTCTCTCTTCATAAAAGCCCATGGGTGCACCAGTGTTCAACCTGTGTCTGCAGCTGTGGGGCAAGGGGCTCTGCTGCCATGTGTGTGGAGTGTTCAGTGATTCCAAGCCGGGCCAGTCTTGGCTGTCAGGGGTGGGAATGAATGCTGACATTATCCACAGTGGGTGGTGATACTTTATTTTGTGTGCTCACAACCAGTTTAATAGGTACAGTGTTTCAAGAACTCAAAGTGTTACAAGAGGTCTGTTGTGCCCACATTTAGAAAATCATGATCCTTGGCCCCTTCCTAAGGTCTCCACAGGAAAGTAGTATAGGAGCTGGCTGAAGGGCCCTCTGTCTGTCTACCCTTCCTTGAGTGGGTGGAGTGAGAGCAAGTGTGAAGTGCTACAGTGGCCTCCCTAGAAATGGCCTGTCACCACAGGAATTTTCCTTGGCCTGCTTCAGGGAGGGTGTCTGAGAAGTGAGAAAACCCTAATAGTTCAAGACGAAAGGTTCCTTGTAATGTGAGTATGGAAGACTTGAGAGTGTGGGTAAATGCTGGAAAGTTGGGCTGAAAAAAAAAATGCATCTTTCCAGCCTGTGGTTTTATACTACCTTAGAGGTTGGTGTTCTTGGCCCAAGGACACCCCGAATAGCAATGCTTGCCTAGTCTTTGGCATTTTCAATTCCTTCTGCAAAGAGAGAATTCCCCAAGCCTACTACTGAATGTAACTGGTAGTTAAGAATGTAATCTTTGGGATCACAGGTCCTAAATCTATACTGGCTATGTAACCTTAAACAGTAATTTCAAGTCCTGAGCCTCGGTTTCCTCCTTTGGAAAACAGACAATACTAGTTCGTTCCTCCACCCTGGGGCTGTACTAAGACTTACATGAGACAATGGTCTGATGGTCTTAGCTCAGAACTTCATATGGTATGTGTTGGGCAGATAAATATTCCATAAGTGGAAGTTATCACTGTTGTTATTGTTGCTATTCTTATTCATATTATTATTGTATATATGATTGGTCTCTAATTAACCTTCCATAAAGAAGCTGTTTCTGTAACCTGTATTTCAAGCTAGAATCAAACGTGAAAAAGAAAATATTCTACTCTATTCTGTGCTAATGCCTAAGGGCTGGTACATAATACCTGTTAACTTACGTACAGTTGAACAAAATATTTTTCACCCATCTATTTATAAATACTCATTGAACACCTACTATGGGTCAGGTGCTGTTCGAGGCACATAGGTTACTCTACTGAAAACAAACGAACAAACAAAAATCAGAGCCCTTGTGAAGCTTACATTTTAGTGAAGCAAGGAAAATAGCAATAAACACAGTAAATTAGTAAATTATTATCATATTAGAAGGTGCTCTGGAAAAAAAGAAAATAAAAAATAGTGTGAAAGAAGGGGAGCTGGGAATTAGGAGGGTAGACTTGCTTTTCATCTAGCCACTAGGATGAAGAGTAAATTGCAAAATGAAGAAATGTAAGTTAGTGGAGCTGCACTGACTTTGCAACTTGTTCTGCAACTTTGGGCAGGCCCCTTCTCCTCCTTAGACCTTAATTTCCCCATTTTTAAGAAAGGGCTAACTAGATGATCTCAGAAGTCTTTCCAGACTCAATGTTTCTCAGTGTATGACCTATGGATCACCTGTATCAGAATCACTTGCGAAAAATACAGATTCCTGAGCCCCAACCCAAAGCTACTTAATCAGACTCCCTGGGAGGGGAAGCACAGGATTTTACATTTTGAAGAAGCTATTCACACTAGGCATGGTGGCTCATGCCTGAATCCCAGCACTCTCGGAGACTCAGGTGGGAGGACTGCTTGAGCCCAGGAACTCCAGACCAGCCTGGGCAACACAGTGAGATCCCATCTCTATGGGGGAAAAAAAAATTAGCCAGGTGTGGTGGTGCACACTTATAGTCCCAGCTACTTAGGAGGCTGAGATGGGAGGATCGCTTGAGCCCACTCCGAGGCTGCAGTGAGCTGTGACTGAGCCACTGCACTCCAGTCTGGGCAACAGAGCAAGACCTTGTCTCAAAAATAAATAAATAACAATAAAAATAAACGAAAATATACAGGTATTTCTTATAAATCCTCAAGTTTGATAAACATGATTCTGTATCTTCCTTATTTTTCTGTTAGTAAAATTCTCAGAAAGTATTGCTGCCTGTCTCTGGTCTAAAGCTTCTCCTAGGTTTCCGATTTCCAGGCAGCTTTGTTGCCCTTGATTCTAATCTGGGGGCGACAAGTACCCTTGCTTTATCTCAGCCACCTTCAGACTAATTTATGGCTGTCCTAAGAACTTTGGGGCTTAAGTTACATCTGACCTATTAGAACACAGCCAGCCAGGCACTGCTGATGACTCAGTCATATCATCCAGATATGGATTTTTCCAAAAAACAAGCTCAGACAATAGTTTCATGGCGCCAAGTGTAGCATTTCACCTCCCTGGTCCTTGGTGGCATAAATATATTTCAAATGGATATCTTGCAGTAAAATAACTGTGGTGCTACAGTTCGGCTACCGCCAGAATCTTGAAGCAGCAAATTCTCAGTCCAGCCAGAAGTCTTTCCAGACTCAATGTTTCTCAGTGTATGACCTATGGATCACCTGTATCAGAATCATTTGCTAAAAATACAGATTCCTGAGCCCCAATCCAAAAACAGCTCAAGCAGCTTGAGCTGTTTTCACTAGGCATGGGAAATATCACCATTCAGTACCTCATCTATCGCACAGGATTTGGATATCCTCTCTATTCTGTGATACCCATACTCCATACTCGCACACCCAGATCAGCTCCTACTGGATATTTCAGTCCCTGATTATCTCGTGAAAATCTGTGATATGGTTTGGCTGTGTCCCCACCCAAATCTCATCTTGAATTATAGCTCCCACAATTCCAACATGTTATGGGAGGGACCCAGTGGGAGGTAATTAAACAGCGTGGTCAGGTCTTTCCCATGCTATTCTAATGATAGTAAGTCTGACGAGATCTGATTTTTTTTTTTTTTTTTTTTTTTTTTTTGAGACGGAGTCTGGCTGGGTCCCCCAGGCGAGTGCAGTGGCAAGATCCTGGCTCACTACAACCTCTGCCTCCTGGGTTCAAGTGATTCTCCTGCCTCAGCCTCCCAAGTAGCTGGGATTACAGGCGCCTGCCACTGCGCCCGGCTAATTTTTATATTTTTAATAGCGACAGGGTTTCGCCATGTTGGCCAGGCTGGTCTCAAACTCCTGACCTCAGGTGATCTGCCCACCTCAGCCTCCCAAAGTGCTGGGATTACAGGTGTGAGCCACCACGCTAATAGAATCTGCAGCTTAACACATCCAAAGCAAAACTCTTGAGTCACATCCCTTCCTCATCACCAAATCTTGTCTCCTTACTCCCCAGTCTTCCCCATCTCAGGAATGGTATCACCATCCTTCCATTTGCTCAAAATCATCCCCCATCCTTCCTTTTCCCTCACCCCCGCCTCCTGCCGACATCCAATCCTTTAGCA